ACTCTATCTATCTATCTATCTATCTATCTATCTATCTATCTATCTATCTATCTATCTATCTATCTATCTATCTATCTATCCTTTTGCTCACCTGACCAAACATAGACACAATAGTAATACCGTGCCGGCTGCCTATGGCCTCCTCTATGCTGCTGTAGCTACGGGCGTTCCAGTGGACGAACTGAACCTGGAGTCATCAAGTACAAAGGTCATATCGTGGGAGTTTTTTAAATCATCTATTTATTAATCTTTTTTCATGGGGACAGTAGTGCTTTTGATTTGTTTATATTGTTTTTTTACTTGTTCGCGTGTTTGTTTGTTTGTTTGTTTGTTTGAGGAAACAAGCAAATCAACGCAATAACGACCATACAGGGGTGGGAAAAGCAACTTAAATTAGACAAAAACAGTAGAAGAAAATATAAACAAGTCTTACAAGTGCCGATTTACTCCAACCACCCGCTGTGGTAGTTGGTGGAAATCAAGTTTTGCCTTTTTTTTAAATTCGTTTGCCTCCGTGGACAATGCATCTAAAGGACTGTTGTGTGAGTGTGTAAGGTAGAAAGTGGGAAGGAAGGTTGAGCCTATGATTATAAGTATTTCAATGATTCAGTTCTTTACGTAATTGTGCGTGCGTAGACTCCCACCCTGGACTAACATACCCCCCCCCCCCCAAATCCCAAAATAAAACCAAAAAAAAGAAAAACGGAGAGTATTCCAGTATTTCAGTAAAAAAAACACATCTCTTAGTACAGTAATTTGAAGACAATTACACTGTACATGTATATTGGATTATGAAGTGCATAGAGCTTGCTGCTGAGAGGGAATTTGTGCAACAGAAATGTTATTAATCATTTATCAGTTTATCAGCCATTCGAAGAAAAAGCTATTCCATAATAATATCTTCGATTCCGGTTCTGATAGACTTTTGACAGAAATAATAATATGAACAAACGATCATAGTCACGAAACTCGAAGTAACTAAATTATTGCCTGAAGCAAATGCACTGTTTCCATTGGTTACGGTCAAAAAAGTCATAAAATCCTCCAGCAGCACCCTCCAACCACCCTCCCAATCGCATCCCTTCCGCTTACCTCCATGGGAAAAGCCTTGTGATTAACCAAGTGTTCCGACCCTCTGTCGCAGTCTTTGCCCCAGTGGAATCGAACCTCAGACAGTTCAAACTCCGCGTCCTCTGGTAGCGGACCACCGGATAATACTGAGGAGAATAAGACACATCCTTACTTAAAATTCAAAGATGATTCTGCGTTGTCAGGGGAATTCTATGGGGTGGGTAATAATAA